ATACTAAAAAATATTTCTTTCATGAAATACAAAGATTGCCAATTTTAATGCCAATTTTAAATATAAAATTTTTACACTTCCTTATCCCTTAGTTTCCTATTTCAACTCATAAACTGTTTGTTAGCAGAAATATCTTATGGCGTTGTTTTTCCTTGCTTCAATCCCCCCGCCCCTATTTTTTATTCTTTATTTTCTGAAATAAATGTGCAAATATTACAGTCTATATTAATCCCCTCTCCCAAAATACTACAAATAGTTGGAGCACATAAAGACAATACTACATATTCAACACTGAAATGGTAGGAAATAATATAAGAAGTAGGATACACATTATAAAAACTTAAAAGGAAGTTTTGTCAGGAAAACAGGAAAAAGAGGTCACTCCAGCAAGTATCCATACTTTACTGGATAATATTAGAAAATAAAAAAATAACATTATTGGCAAAATTTAGATTTCAAATTTCAAGCTGACCCTGGAACTTTGGACATAAGCACAGAGATTGAGCCACACATCCTGTAGTCACACAGGTTTCTCTTTTCTTAGATTAAAAACTTTTGGTCTTTTGTGCAAGAGTTGAAAATTTCAGATGTAAACATCTGCACCATTTTGCTTTTAATGTTGACATTTCTCATCAACTTGATTTTGTATTGAATTAGGTTTTCCTTTAGTGATACTCTGGAATTAAGCCTGTCCCTGAAGAGTTCACTGCAAAAGTTTTATATTTACAATGGCTTACAGTCTATAGAGATACTTGCATCCAAGCACAGTAGTAATTTATTTTTCATTTTGTGTATCTATATGTAAAACATGTAAAAATCTAAATGCATCAAATGTGCAATACAAATATATCAATTATGTCAGACGCTGGCCAAAAGCAGGTATTTGTAAATGAAATTTAAACCCCTGAATTGCAGAGAATTACCAAAAGTGCTACTAGAACATTCCATCATGAAAATACACAACAAAGCCTGCAGAGCATATAGCTTTCTTCATTTCAGTATTAAAAACATTACACAAAATGCCATGTGAGTTCGATACAAATATGCTGAAAAGAAAGATTAATATGGCCATCTAGAGGAGAAAAGAATGCTATGAAAACATACAACACAATTTTTCAGCCTTCAGAATATGATGCTTTTAGAGGCATGCAGCCAGAAAAAAGACATAATAGTCTGTAATAAACTAATTACAGAATTTATAACAAGCAAACCTTAAAATAATACATTCAGATATTTTGGTGGTCTGAATGATGCAAACATATTAATATTAAACATGTTTTTAGCAAGACAAGCAAAACATACAGGGTGTATTAATAAAGACAAGATTATGTTCTTGTCTCTGTTAAATTTTGTGTATGCAGAGTCAAGTACACACACATCTAAACAAACGCATTTAAAAAGACAAGTTCAGAGTAAACAGTTATCAGTAAAACTGTTTATTGACTCCTTTAAAAACACACAGCTCACTACTGTGAAATAGAACATGTGAGAGAGATTAGCTGCTGAAGAGAAAATTCAGCAAAGAAATCCAAAATTTCCTGAAAACTAGGAATCATTTTCATCACTCATACTACTCTATCTTTGATGGAATTCATAGAGTCATGGAATCATGGAATGGTTTGTCTTGGAAGGGGCCTTACAGACTACCTCATTCCAACCTCTCTGCCCTGGACAGGGACACTTTCCACTAGAGCAGGTTGCTCAGAAATCCATCCAACCTGGCCTGGAACACTGCTAGAGATGCAGCATCCACAGCTTCTCTGGGCAATCTGTTCCAGTGTCTTGCTACCCTCACAGAAAAGAAATTTTTTCTTAATATCTAATCTAAATCTGCTCTCTCTGAGCAGATCTTCCAGACCTCCTTAAAACCACTCCCCCTTGTCCTTGTTCTTAATGATCAGGGGCTGCTTTACTGGCAACGAGCAGGAGGAAAACAGAGGTGAGACAAAAATTAATTCTGTCCTCTCATCACTTCACTTTAACACTATCAAGTGTTATATGCTCAACATATGGACTGATCAGTGCCTTACGATGGAAGCACAGCCAAAATGTTAAAGACTTAGAAGTAGAAATGATAAAGCACATATGAGAAAAAAGAAGCACACAAAGTCAAATGCACTGACAATTTTTTCTCATATTAAACCAAGTACATAGGAACACACTGCTTGTTCCACAGAAGAGTCAAGAAATGGTTTGATCATCTGTCTTCACACTTCTTATAAAAATAATTCAATACCCATAAAAGCCAAGTATTTTTTTAAAAAATCAGCATTCTTATGGCATCAAGTCTTCTACAGATTTTTTTTTTGCAAGTTTAAGGAACAGTAAAGCTTTGCATTTTTAAAAATCACACTGAAACATCTGGAATGCTGATGCTTCCCTCTTGGAATCAGATTTTTAATGTCTTCTGTTAAGTGAACTGCTTCTCTGAACACAAATGAACAGCTTGGTAGTAATAATCTCTCCTTTATTTCTGATTGCAGGCCTTCTTCATGAAGTTTTCACCTCTCTCCATCAAGTTTCTATGTTGGGCAGCTTTTCCCTCTGTAATGCCATCACATAAGGCATACACTGTCTCTTTCTCTATTCTAAAACATTTTTATCATTGTGCAAAGATTCTTTGAAGTAATTTAGGAAGAACATAAAAAGTACTGGCACTAATTATTCCAGCATGCCACCTTCAGGTCACTGAGAAGTGAAAAATGTTAAGTAGTTAATCTGCTGCCATGTCCAAAACTTTTTTTTAATAGGATTGAACATAATTTTGTTGAGAATAATGGATTAATAAAATGAGACAAACTCCTGACTCTAATTTGCATGCATTTTGCCAAACATACGGTGTAAAATCATTGCAGGCTGTCAAAAAAATAACACTGTTTATTCTCCATTCCTTGTAAAATGTGGGAAGGGAATGCTCTCATAAGTAGCAGCAAAAGCAAAATACTGACAATATTAAAATTTTTGTGCAAGTAAAAGTATGTGGTTAAAAAAAATCTAAGTTTTTAAGTTAGAATGTTTTGATAGCTTTTGTTTTAGAAGGTTTTTGCTTCCAAACACTGAATGTTCTTTCATTACAATAAATTTTAAAATGGCATTTATATCCAGCCTGCTTCCAGAATGGAGAGAGCATAGAAAAGGAATAGCACCTGGTGACAGATATATTTAGCAACAGAAGAATAGCAAAAAATGAGGAGGAGGTAACAACTGTAACTTTCTGGATGCAATATTTGGACTTCCCAAAAAGGTTCTTTTGTCTTATATTGTAATCCTGATACGGATTTACAGATACCACTTTGTATCAGTAAATACAAATTCTGATGAATTAAAAGGATTGTAAGGAACACAATCATAAAAATTTAAAAAAAAATTGATAAAGGCTAACACAACGTCTTTGAAGCTTAAATCCTATAGGGGCAAAGTAAAAAGCTCAGATGAACTCAGGGCTTTTCACTGAGAAGAAGAACTAGATTGGATAAAAAAATCAGAGCAATTACAAAATAAAAAGAGGAATGTGATATAACTATGGCTATTTCAACAACTAGCCTCAGTAGTCTGCAGAAAGAGAAATACCTTATTCAAGATATCTGAAAGAAGTCTTCCTATGTAATTCTTGTATAATTAATATCTGGTATTATTTGCTAATCATTTTTCCATCTCCTGTTAATATACATCATCATTCTTTCCCAACAGGGAAAAAAGCCATAAAAAAGCCTTTCATATTCCCTCCACCAATACTGTTGAGAGATCTCAGTCGATTTCAAAACCAAACATACTTTTACTATCCATATTCCTTCTCCATCACAGTGCTCAAGGATCAGTTTTTACCACCTGACCTCACCTCTGCATCTCCTTCACTATTTGCTGGAACTCAGACTACCTGCCTTCCTACAATTTAACAGCAAAGGAAAGAAAGGAATTTTCTGATGATCAACAGAGAATCCTTTTACTCTGCAACTTACTTGAAATATGGCTTTCATGTCCTTCAGGTCTTAGCTCGGAATCATGAATGACCATATACTAACTTCAAATTTCAACAGCAAACAGACTTTTACATAATTTAATTATATCAAATTGTAGAAACTGTAAACTTTTTCAAGCCCTTCTGGATGGTATAGAACATTTAAGGTGAAATATCTTTTAATTACATATATCCACTTTTTATTAGAAAATATCAAACGCTAAGAAACTTTTACATTTTACCATACTAAAGGAAGACAAAAAATACCTTACTATAATATAGTACCTGTATCAGAATGAGACTTTTACCTAACTCCAAGAAAAGTTCACTTTTCATGCTTGAAACTGGCTATGGACACAGTTCTCACACAATTATTTTCAAATACAAAAAGCATATTGATAAAATATTGACAGCAGAATTCTCAGCCTCTACATCAAGCTGTCATCCCAACTTAAAATCAAGAAATATATAGCATGTAAGAAAACATCCACTGTTTAAATCCAACTTTTAGCACCATGGAAAAATACATTAATCTAATCGTTCTAGTAATTTCTTCGTGTCATTTCAAGAGAAGATACAGAACATTCCAGCAATGCACACTGCAATGACCATATGCACTGTAGCCAATAACCAATTCCATTTACTTTGCTGTTAGAACAGCTTATCAATACAGAAATAACATCTTCTTTGTATTTATAATACCACAAATTCAGCAAGAGTTACCATGTTTCCTTCCTAAATCAAAACAGCTTAAATTGCCCCAAAAATTAAATGAATAATGATAAAATTAAATGAAACTTAATGTAGCAAGATATTGTATCATTTGTAGCTTCTCTGGAAGAATGTATAAAAGTGTGTGCTTTTTTTTTTTTTTTTTTTTTTTTTTTTTTTTTTTTTGAGCATGCACTAATATAAGAGGTGTCTGGATATTTCTTGCAGACATTGACTATTTGCTAGTCAAGCTGCTCTCATCTTGGACTTACTTATCCAGAACACATTTCTGAAATTTGGAATAAAAGGAAGGCTTTTAAATCGCTCTTACCTTCATCTATTGAGGCTTCACTACTGTATCCATCATATTCTGCAGACAGGGGACTATATTTTTGTCTGGTTTCCCATATATAGTTTTTTTGCTGTCTGCCATCCACCACTGGCAGCCTGGAACTCTGGGTTCTAGACAAGGCCTCATGATATTTACCAAGTGCTTCATCTTCACTCTCAGATGATGAACCATGCTGGTCTTTACTCATATAAGAATTGTCTGTTTGAATAAAATAAAGCAAATCGACTACAGCTCAAAATAGAATACAAGAAAATAACCATAAGAGGTTATCATTGAAGATATTTAAGCCATTTCAATTAAAATTTCTGTAATATTTTAAAAATACCTTGTTGTAATTACAAGCATTGTGATGTTGTAATTGCTGAGAGCTGTTCTCACTTTCTAGAAGACTTCAAAGATCATTAAACCCCAGAAAACCACACTAACACTTATTCAACAGAAAACAGATCAATTCATGTAAGGTGGCACACAGACATTCTTGAAGTAAAAGTAAATCCAACACTGCTGCAATATTACATTTGGATACCTTACGCACCAAGCAAGCAGCTCCTGATCCTACATTCCCAGCTGATATTTGCTGTGAGCATGTAGCATAGCATAGAAATGAAACTGATTTATAAAAAGAAGCCTACAACAAAATCATCTTTAGGATAGTTATGCCAGTAGTGTTTAAACTCACAATAACAAATGGGAAAATGCAAGTGAAAGATGTTTGCATGCACAATTTTATTTCACTTACAATAAACAGCTCCTTGTTCAATAACTGAAATTAATGCAGATTTTTACTGCAGACATCTGGCAACAGCAAAAATTACATGGGAAGAAAAAATCTATCTAGTTAATTCTTTTATAGCAGTTCTGTAGTGCCTACTCCTGTGGCCAACGTTTTCCAACTACATCTCAAGCATAACTTCCTCCCACAAATCAAAGATTAGCTGTGTTTTTATTTCTGTAAAGGGAAGATTTCCTCCTCCCTTCTTCCAAAGTTCAAATTTAACATGCCCTGCAGAGGTTCTGTAGATCTCAGACTCGAATAGGCAATGAGAGTTCATGTAAGCTCAGAAGTCAGCATTACCTCTACTCTGAGAGCAAACCTATGGTATATGATTTGCCAGTGCATTTCCATTACCAGCAGAGCTTTGAGATGCCCATAATGCTGTTTCTCAGCTCCTAAATCTGGGGGAATGTTGTCTAACATGCTATCCAGCCACACTCAACTGCTTCTCCCCTCCCTGTTTTTATGCGCTCAGCTCCAGATCTGCATTTCCACTCCCTAAGTGTCTGTCTTCATGCCCAGTCAGTCTCACTCCTCTGGCTGGGTATTCCTGCTAAAAGAGAGATTCAGCTTATTCAAAAGTCAGCCAGTTAAAATTAAATTAACTCCATGTATGCCAGCCACCTAGATCTCTTTTACAGTCAAGTGTTTGACTCTTAGTACTACAGAGGTCCGTCCTTCCTACTTTTAGGAATCACTTCCCATAGAGGTCTTTTGCTCCCTGGTACTCATACAGAAAAACCTCTGCTGCAAGTTTAGGTATGAAATCTTTTGGAAATCTTTTGGAAAGTTAAATTCAAGTAGAATTCTATGCCAAGTTCCTGTCTCCCAGCCCCATACTCCAAGTTCTTGCTCCAAGCTCCCACTTTTGGTTTCTTACGGTGATTTCCTCTATTCTCTTGGGCTATTCAATCCCAATGTCTTTACTTGCACCTAACCAACTACTCATGTATCCTTGGTCTTTCACCTTTACTCTCTGCACCTTCATATGAAGTTATCAGTTCTCTCTATAGCTGTCACCCTTCGTAGTTTAAATCCCAATCTACCATGTGCATTGGGTCCTATTTGTTCAGGAAGTTTCTGTCCTCACATAGAATGTATTTATTCTCAATTCTTCTGTTCAAACTCTCAGAGCCCATCAGTAACCACAAGTATCAAAGGCAGGGTAAGACCTGCTCTGCTCTTCAATCCCTACAATGAAGCATATGAGTGCAAATGGGATGGTCAGTGAATTTAACAAGCAAAGTATAAGAAGTGTTTACCATGTCTTTTCAAAAAGCAAACTTTCCAAAAATTTACAACTTTGTCAAACTTAGGTGTTTTTTCATAGAAGACCATGGGCATCTCTGACATGGGAGAAGTGCTCTCCCACATCTCAAGCACATATTCCAATACACAAAGGTGTCACAGCATCTTTGTAAAGCTGAGGTGAAATCTATTTTTTTTTTTTGCAAAAATATCCAGCATGTTTTTTCGCATAACCTATTTTTTGGAAACAGTTAAAGATTTTAAACTGTAATTTAGGAAGAAACCAAAACAATAGGATCTCAGACAGAAAGAATGCCTAATTTCCTCAAAATTCTTCCAAATTTGGCACACAATTTATAAAATTCGTAATAAGATCTTGAAATAGTAATAAGATCTTGAAATAGAAATTGTCAGAAAACCTTATCTGGATGTGGGGCTACCAGCTCTACACATAATGTGTACAACAACTTATTTTACTAATTATAGGAAATATGGTGCCTTAAAAGGCTTCTAAGGAGCAAATTGGATCTTTCAACTCTAGCAGAGATGGTACTTCCCATTTATGGATGGCTATAAAGCAAGTTCAATTTCAGTGATCATTTACTGAAAATATCACACCAAGCAGGATCTGTTCTGGCTAACACCTTCACTGCAAGAGGCTGCCCAGAAAAAGGAGTCTCAAAGTGTTTTGCTGTAACACAGAGTAAAATTTTGTATTTCATATAGCCCTGCAGGGGTTGAAACCTGCCACACTGAAACTTCTACAGATTCCCACAACTGTAATTAAAGCAGAGCATACCAGGCCTAAAGTACAGTGCCAGACATGAGTATTAGGTGCCTCCTTTAACATTACAAGAAATGTATTCACAAATATGAAATCAGGTTCATTAATCAGCCTGCATAAAGAATGGAATAGTATAAAACATGGCAGCAACATGTTTGCAAGAAGAGTTGAAAGTTATGTCTCTAATAATACACTGACTTTTGCAAGCATACAGAAGTTCTCAGTGATAGCAGTTTTTTATTTTTTCCCCAGTTCCTATTATAAAAGAATGAGAATGCATACCATTATTAGAAGTCATGAAGCAAGACCTCTTCAGAGGACTTAAAAACCTCCTCAAAATTTAAACATAAGCTATCCATGCAAAGCCTTTTTTTTTAATTACAAAGCAGATCAGTTTCAGTTTCTCAGAAAAACATAACTTCCGGTACATTAAGAAAAAAAAAAATCTCACAGTTTAATGCCTTTGCTTGCCACTTCTCATTCAATTTTTATACCTTATTTGGAAACTTGGCTAAGAGAATTTATGTTCATAGCAAAACCTTTCCTTTATTTGGCTGACATGGGTCATGAGCAATTTTTAACCTATTGAAAGCTATTAATTTGCTTATTATGGACTCTAAATGCCATTTTTGAGAGAATATACTTTACAAATCTATTATTATGTAAAGAAATAGATAAGACCATAGTTTACCATACAAACATGGAAAACACTCCTAATTCAAACTAAAAAAAAAACAACCAAACAAAACCAAACCAAAACTCAACGAAGCAGATAACTGAAATTTCAGATAAGGAAAACACACACAACTGAAGGAAAAAAAATGGGTTTCTATTAGGAAATCATTCATTTCTTTACAGAAATAGCACCTCTGGAAAAGCATGTGTTGCTTTCTAAAATTTTACTATGCAGCCTGCAAAAGTATGTAAAATTGCAAGGTTTTACTTTTTCCTTACAAACTGCAATTGCAATTACCTTACCACACCAAGATTGGATATTGAAGATGGCACACAAAGTATCCATAACAACAACACACAGGTTTTCTTTTAAGACTACAACTTTAAGACAAGCCTCATTCACTTCTTTCTGTACTTAAAATAGCTTAATTGCCATTTCTTATTGAGTTTCTCATTTCTCATTGTGTCTTGAAATCATTATCTCACATATCCCAGAAATATTCTTAAGATCTACTGTAATGTAAATGCAAAAGAAGTTATTCCTTTTATTGTCATAGCACATTTTATGCAATGCTTTTAAAAGAAACAAAATAAAAATAACTTTCACAGAACAAGTTTTAACTTTCAGCAGAAGCCACACAAGGCAGAGAAGGCAAGAAAAACTGTATAGAGAAAGAGTAAAGTTAGAACATAGAAAAGGCATTTATCAATCAGCTTCTTTAAGTAATACTTTGGAAAGTAATTAACTTCCAAAAAATATCGGCACAATTAGAAAAAGAAGCACTGAAACAAACCTGGCACTTTCACTGACAGGAAACACTATTATTAAAGGTTTAAATTAGGTGAAAAAAGCAGGAACTATCATAAGTTTCAGGAAAGGCTGAAGAATGCAGTTTGCTGACAGACTCCTCACCTTTTCCTGCTGTCTTCTTATTACACAGCTCTCTTTCTAATTTCTTTGAGTTTTTCCTTTTACCCTCATTCACAATTGTAGTTGACACATTGCCTTCATCCTTTGAGATGGGTTTTCTTTTTCTGTCATAGAAGACTTCAGATTTCTTTTCTTTGATTTCATTAAGGCAACTAGGATGGTCATTGTGCATCTTCTTCAAGCTGGAATCTGATAATTTCTCCTTCTGTACTTCAACAAGCTTTGTTTCTAAATCTTGGGGAACATTAATACTGTGCACTTTATCAGAATCTTCAAAATCAGCTCCAGGTGACTGTGGTTTGATTTTTTTATGCTTGCGATTCTTAAAATTATCTGATACTGCATATAAACAATTATCTTGCTCCTCAATAGATTGCTCCACTGTAAGTTTTTTACTTTTCAGGTTACTATCCTTCAAGAATTTATCATTTACAAAACACTCATTTCCCCCTACTACTTCCCTTTTAAAAGGTCCTCCTACAGTCTTCAAATCCTGAGGTACTTCTGTATCACTGAGAGGATTATTATGATCTGTGCCTCTTAAGTGACACTGATTTTTGTTCAAGACATGGTCAGATACTCCAACTTGACTTGTACCTTTCTTTACAAAATCTAACGAATTAGAATTATGAGTTTCTTTGCATTCTGCAGCACCTCTTTTCGTTTTCATATTAATTTCCTGAGAATGAGTTAATGAGGGTGTGTGTTCCTCTCTGCCTTCCGCAGGTTTATCACTCTGCGTTTTGGAGCTCTCATCTTCTGCCCGCAGGCCATGGATCATGCTGGTTACTTGCTCTGTCACTGAGTCAGCTACAGAGTAGCCAACCTCACCAACAACGCTGGCCAGGTCATCCACGGCACTACTGAGCGTGTCCACCAGGGAAGACACAGAGGGAAGGCTCAGATTTTGCTGAAGGTTTCTAAAAAACGCCATTTGTCCAGCCTATTCAGCAACAGCTCTTAATACTGACAGGTCCTCTCTTTCACAAACTGATCATCTCTCTTTCTCCAGCTTCAATTTCAGAGCTATTTCTATCTCAAAAATCAATACATTTACCAGGAGAAGTTGCAGCTTTTCTCTTTTCATTCAATAATCATTGCAAATAATAAGAAAACAGCTAAATAAGTATCTTGAAGCCACAATCAACCAGCAAAACCATAGTCTTTCATCAACTGCAGCATCAACCAGCCATAATAAAATTCATTATTTTCAAAAACAAGACAACTGTGTGAGATGGACTTTTTTTTCCTATTCTAACCTGTGAAGAAGAAGTTGTGAGACATTTAAATTTTCATCAGTGTCACACTAAAACAGGTTTTTAACATAACACAACACACATCATAGAGACTTCTTCACCCCAAATATTTGTTGTCTTTTACATAAGGTAAGATACTTTGGAATATCAAGACTTGTTTTGTAGCAAAAAAGAAAGTTAATATGACAGAAAATTTCTTTTTTTTTTTTTTTTGCTTCCTTGAAAATTGAAAATAAAAATTTAGCTCCATCTTTAAGAGAGGTAGAGGGGAAGAAGGCCTCTTTGATTTCGCATTCTGTTTTTTGGTACCTGACTCTCTCAAGTCAGCTAACAAAGCCTGTTCAATTTTCACAGTACAAAAGTAGAAAGAGTTGTTTTACCAACCCTCAATATCTTTTTCAAGGTCTAATTTCTTTCATTACACATGATCATTAAAGATCTTATTGTATTAAAAAATATTCAATAAGGTGTTAGTCAGATATAAGATATCACTAAAATTAATCTTTAAAATTATTTTCCAGGTGAATAAAAGCAAGACCTTTTCCAAAAGTGTGGTGAAGGATTTTAACAGGCTGAGTGAAAATCCAATAATCCCATTCAAAAATTTACCTAAAAGGATTTAATTATACAAAATTATGGAATGTTTAAAATAAGCTCGAGTATTCTCTGAGTGCAAGAGAAGCATCTCCCCATAAGTAAATGCAAACTCTTTGGTTATATAGCTGTTGAATTTCTGTGGCTTGTGGATACAAAGGTTTGCTCCTTTCAAGTACTGCAGTCGCGGGAAAAGCCAATGTTGTCGTGTTGCTACATCCTGGTAAAAATGTGCATTCTTATAATTAAGTTTAGTACACTGTATGTCAGATACTTACAAAGTTTATCTTGTGAATTCTTTCTTGTAGTGTATCCTGAATCGAGATCTGGGAAACCACTAACATTTTCAATACACATCTTCTTATTAATATATAGGAAAAGTAGTAGCATGAGAATAATGAATACCCCGACTGCAGACAGGAATCCAATTGCTTCCGGAGATACTAAAAGAAACAGAAATAAACACATTTTAAAAAACTTTGTAAAGGCTTGTAAATTGTAATATTATCAGAATTGATCATTAACATATAACTCAAAAGATGCAAATATATATGCCAGATATAATTAAAAGCCCACCGTTTAAATCTGAGTTAATGCTTAATCACCTTTTCAAAAAACAGAAAAGCATCTGGTCCTAATCTGAGAAGAACTGATGCTGTGAGCAAGAGGTTCTGATGGAGGACTGGACAGTCTCTGCAGAAGAATGGGGAGATTATCAGAAGCTGCCAAAACCAATGATTTCTGATGGAACACCTGAGTGACAGCCCTGGAAAGGAGCTAAGAGCTCCCCATCTCCTGGATGTTTGGCTGCCTCTGCTCAGGGCCAGCTTTGAGACAGCGCTGTTGAGCCTTTGCCCTGTCCACCTCGTCATGTTCAGCACCTGGCTCCTCTTCCCTCAGGGACCAGCTGGCCCACGAAGCCCTCTGGCAAGCAGGATACTTAATGAGCAAAAAACAGAGTGAGAAAAACCATGTATGGTCATTTGTATATGAACCAAGAAAGATCTAATAGAAAGTGAAATAGAGATAAAGCACACTTAAAACCAGGTGGGGGGGAAAAAAGGCCAAAGTAGACTGACATGCCTTAGAGAATATGTAAAATAAAGAATATGTAATTGCTATTAAGCAGATAACGGCAAGGCAGTATTGGGGATCTTTGAAAGGTGTAGAATCTTTGACATCCACCAGCATCTAACAACATCATTTACACAATTTAAGACTGTCAAGGAGCAGGTTTTAGAAATATGAAATCTGCAAATAGATGTCTGCTTCCATTTGCAGATTTGCAAATCTGCGAATTGAAGCAATGGAAAAGAGTATTTAAATGGCAGCTTGTTTATTTGAAAGGGAAGTGGGCAGGGAAAGGGATATAGAAGAGCAGCAACCCAAGAAGCTAGAAATGTGAGAAATAAGTAAAACTTATAAATGCAGTTCAAGATCAAGAGAGGGCAGATCTTTTGAAAGGAGTGCAGGCATCCACAGACTATAATGAAGCTGAGCTCCTTCATTAATAAAGGCTGCCAGGGTCTCAGAGGGAAGGCCCTTAGGAAACCCAGTGGCCTCTCTACAAGCTCTGTATCTAAACAACTTGTAGCAAAAAGTTAAAATAGTGACAGGATTGCAAATTTGTTATGAAGTAGGGTAGGAGGTTAAAGTGAAGGGTTATAAAACTTCAATTCAATAAATTTGTGTGCAATTTATAGGCAAAAATGTGGTAGAACTCAGTAACTACATGAATTAACAACCATGTAAAGCATTACAGAATTGTGATTTCTAGTGATATGTAACAGATTAATTAATCTGTTAACTGGTTTATTACTAGTGTACTGATAATTGAGAAACACTATGTCTCAAACCTGCATTCTAAATAGGAAGAGTAATATCTAAGAGTGGATTTTATGGCCACAACACACAGACAACACATATTTAAGAGCTGAACACAACTACATTAATCTGGATGAAAACTGGGATTTCACATATCACTTTTCTTCCTCCTGACTTGCAAGACTACACTCAGCTCCATAAATCCCATTCTTGGGGGTTGATTTTTTTTTTCTATTTAGTAAAGATTTATGAAGCTTTATCAGATTTACAAATTATGTTTGCTAAGATCTTGGCACTTCATTTTAGAGCTATAGTGCTGCATGGCAACATCTTTCACTATTTAAAAAGGAGTGGAATTAAAGAACAGTTGGCAACAGACTCAGCATTCAGAGAACGCAGAGAACAAAAGGACAAGACACAGGAGTCCGAAATAACTACAAGAAGAGTTCCAAATGGAGATGAGGTGGGAAAAATCCAGAATGAGAGGAGTTTATCACTGGAACAGATTGCCTAGATCAGTTATAGAATCCAACTTCAATGTTATCCCTTCTTTGAGCAGGGAACTGAACTGTAAATTACTTTCCCAGGAGCCTTCCAAATGAAATCATTCTCCGATTCGACATATGCCCTTTGTAAATCTGGGCTCATACATCTATGTAAAAGTACTGACTGAGAAACACATGCAGTTCCACAACCTCCTCAGTTCATTTTGTAGGATGACAGTGAACATTTGTGACTGTGGTGCTGTTCTTAAATTATTATACAGGTGTCTTTTAAATCTGACAAACAAAGAAAGATCCAAATAAATGTGCCTTGCACCATGAAAAATAAATTGGACAGATTTGCACTTCTGTTTTGAGCTGGAACATACAGACCTATCTAAAACTGTTTTTGCTTCACTTCTTATATCTGACCAGAAGAGATCAAGTAACATTTTGCCTAAACTGGCCCTGAAAATTTTCCCATGAAAAGGAACTTGCCAACAACTTCAACTGAGACATCCTGCTGCATCAAGAGGGGTAACAAGGTGAGAAAAGTGGATTTCTATTCTGGAACAGAGGGGAAAGTCAGCTAATTTTTTTTTAAATTAATATTTTATTTATCATTAACTTTGGCATGTGTCAGGCATTCCTTTATTGTTTGTCACGTGTCTATTTACCAATTTTCATTGAATCTTCCCACACGCAGGAATACCCTGAGATTTGACAAAAGCTTCAGTTAATATATATTAATTTTTTACCTCAAAGCTTAACAGATGAAATCTCCCCAAGTTCTGCTGGCAGTAGGCATGCTCCCACCCCTTCCAAGACTGCATATGGATAACTGAGAATATCTAAGGCTATTGAAACAACAGCCAGTTTTCTCTGAATTATTGATCCTGACCCAGATGAGACCAGGGACTGGGCCCAGAACAGAAAACCTTCATTTTCAATAAGTTGCTGCTATAACATCTATCAAACACAGAGGCAGTGGCAGAAAAGGCAGCAAGAGGGAACTGTAATTCACCAGAACACAGGGACCAGCAGAAGTGAAAGAGCAGTAGAAGGTGGCACAGGTTAATGATGTTCAGGCAGGAAATCAGTGTGAGAAGGTGTGACACAAATTTGGGGTACATGGTACAAGTCAGAAAGCGAAAAGAAGGCAAAAAAGAAGACAGATCAGAAGGCAGATAAAGATCATGGGACCTTTGAATGAACTATGAGAATGATTGCTTTGTCATTGGATCAGGCTGTCCTAGGCAACTTCACCTGAATTCCATGTCCACACTGCTTCGAGCAGGAGATTTAACTGAATTCCCTGTCATGAAAGGATTCTCAACAAAGGGCAGTGACAGTCTCCTTTTAATAGGATATATTAACTGTACAGCATCTTCAGGGAAAAATTGTCAAATATGTCACACTTGAACTTTTCAAACAGTAGGTTTAAATTGCAATTTTTAAATTTTTAAACATTTTTACTTATGCTTATGCTGCTCAGCAATCATGTGCCTTGGTCCATCAAAATACGTGCTTAAGGAAGTTAACCACAACCTAAAAGGAACTGAAAGCTGGATACTTTGGGGGTTTTTTTGCCTCCAGTACTTCATGGATACTAAGTAGTTAAAAAAGGCACTGTCTGAAAGCCTTATAGTTCTCTATGGAAACACAGTATCTGATGACATTTTTCTGGATGAAAAGAGAAACATTGGCTGATACCTTACAAAAAGAATGAAACTTAAGCCGCAGAAAAACTAATTAATTATTTATGTAATTCAGTGTGAACATAGGACTTGAAAATTATATTTCTGTATCAATTTGCACTCATGTAAGGAGTCTTAGAAGACTTGTTCACAGATTAGGTAAATTATCAAGCTGAAATCCTGTAAAATATTTCCATTATAAAGCCAGGGGGAAAAAAATGTACTTCAATTTTCCACATGAAATGTGCACAGATTCCCATCTTTGAATACAGGTTTTATACATCACATTAATCCTTCAGTTAGTTTCTCACAGGTTAAGTGTCAAGCAGGTATACCTTGCAGACAGAAAAAAATTTAAAATTCTTTTTTACATAAAAAATACATCTATACCACATTCACCACCAGAATTATTTTGATTCAAAACATATTGCAATAAATTCTGAGTTGTCTGGGAATTAATTGTACCATGAAAAGCATTTCAAAAGCTGTTGGAGGTTCCCAGTGGTTTCTTCTACTATCAGACACCAGTAGGAAACTATTATATAAACACCAGCTATAACTATTTTCTCATAGTTATCCTTTAAATTCAAATGTCCTACTTCTATAAATTTCATTATTATTTTTCGTTCTTAAGAACAACACCAATAAAATTCTGAATTTATGCTTGAAATTCATTACAATATAAGGCAGTTTTTGAAATACTAAAAGAGCAAATGTCTTTCTACAAAGTTACCAAGACTAATTGAATTGCTGGCTATGGAAGTGGCATAGAAAGTCATAGTCACTAGAGAAGTATTACCTTAACATCACTTTAATTCTATTTTGTTGTTATCATCACTAGAATCAGAAGTATTAGAACAGAAACTTACCATCTCTTCATCTTAAATATCGAATTAGCACCTCTTTGTCAAATAATAAATTATTTATGACATAATTTTTCATTTCAAAAAGTTGTTTCAAACTCATCAGAAAATGATGTCATTTCAAATATATATCACCAGAACAACAAAAATCCTCAGGCATTTTAAAAAGATGAAACATTTTTAATATGAAATTTAAAAGCATTTACTTTTTTATTATGTATCTAGTCCCAAACTTTATTTAATATTAAGTCAATTATTTTTGGAGCTTTCACACTCTACACCATACCACTGACTTAGTAATGTACAAAGCCACACAGTTATCTTAGTGACATTTCAATTATTCATTTACAAATGCAATACTATCTCTTCTGTATACAAATTAAGTAACTAGGGGGTATGACCTGAAAAATGTCAATTACCTTTAGGATCCTAGCACAAAAAAAACATTTGAAATTTAACATGTAAGCTTGTTTTTATTTATAACTTGGGTTTTGGGGTTTTTTTTTACAACTTGATCTAAGATACTTTAGCCTTTTAAATTCTTTTAAATATACAGGAGTGTTGTTTTGTATTTAGT